AATTTCAATGGTGAAGTCCTCTGGAAATCTTCAATAATTGTTGTTGATTGCAGATGTGTCTAGTAGTTCCCATTGATTTTGCTTGTAAAGCGGGGAGATTGGCGCTAAGCTTACCGCACCGTGACGTCACTGCTGGAAGATGACAGGAGGGAGGTGTTACTGTATTTGGGCAAAAATGGCCGCTCCCAGACTCAGTGATCGCGACGAAAATTATTTTTTTAAATTTTTTTAACGATTAATGCTAAATTCATTAAATCACCACAAACGTATTTGTTTTAGGTATGAATAATGATCCATTGAACATTCCTGCTGACTGGACTTTTCCTTTAAATTCGATGCCAGTGGATCCATTTCTCTTCAACTGATGGATCACGTTCAGATGCTAAAACCTGAGCCGATTAAAGATTCAATATTGGATCATGACCATCATATTCACTAATGGGAGATATATAAAAACTAGGAGTGTTGCGTTTTGGTGATATACCGTGATTTTTGGCTGCCCGATATATCGATTTCAGTTCCTAGTATTGATTTTAAAGTCGTAGGGAAATGGCTGTTCCAACACCTGCATTTATGAATTCTCCCAGTGGTGCACGACTTTACACAAGGGAATAAAGTGAATATGATTGATCGATTATCGAGGGGGCGGGATTGTTGTGTCCGAAGGTTTGCAAGCTATTTGGTTGTGGGCGGTTTGTCTGAAGCATCTTGCTAACCAGTTAGTAACTTAGTGGGACGGAACACTGGACTGACTACAACCCGGATGGATGTTAGAACCCGTATGCTTGCTAGAAGGTCCCAGAGTTTAAAAAAGTGTTTTTGTTAAGTGTAAAATCTGGCTGAATAGCACTGAACCATCTGATTGGTTACCTTCTTCTCCCCTTCCCTCCAGCATTGGTCCTCTTCTGCCTCCCCTCCTTCTCCTCCTCGCCTCCTTCTGCAGCGGCTCTCCTCTTTCTGCCTGGAACAGCACCCCCTGTCAGTCCAGGTTCCTTGTCCAGCTGTCCCTCCTCTTGGACATTACTCCGGTCCTCTAAGGCTGTGCTGTGCAGCAGGTTACCTAGGCAACAGACAGGATCATCTAACACTGTGACTATTAAAGTCGGGACCCTCCAGGAGGAGGGAGATTGTTTTCACAATCATTGTGATCTCTGAGGAGGATGGAGGAACATTTATCAGAAATACAAAAACATGATGATCCTATGAAATAAATTAATATTAATTAAACAGAATATGAAACTATAAAATTCACATTTAAATAATTAAGTGACACAATAAGTATTAATATAAAAAATTTAAATGAATCATAATCCTTCACACACTTCTGATCTATAAATATGAAGTAATTATTTTGCTTTTTAAATAAATACCCTTCTTATAATTACATTTAATTATTTACCATTTCGATATTTAATAACATTTAATTATTTAACTTTTTACAATTTAATGGTTTATTTAAAATAAAGTAAGAAATTAAATAAATGTAATATCCATTTATTTTAACTGGAAATTTACATTAGTGTAGTTCATGTCATTTTCTGGTTCCCATCACAAAGTTTGTTAAAACCATCAAGTGACCCCTTCCCTGGTGTTTAGGGCCGCTGGCGGCCCCGCCCCCTAGTTTCAGGTGCAATCAGATGAGGAGACTGACCTCCTTCCTGCTGCAGGCCTTTGAAGAAGCTTTCCTGGTCGAAAGTAGACAGGCTGGAGGAATCCGTCTGATCCAAACACAAACAGGCTTTTAATCCCAGCAGAAACGGGTTCTTCAGAACCAGAACCGACCCCACAGTGCTTCTGCTTAAACCTACCTGGTTCCCCTGCGCCACATCTGGAGACTTTTTGGTTCCTTGCCGCTTCCTGACAGAACAAGAACCAGAATAGAGGTCATTAATTTCTCTGTTTTTAGTGCACTGGCTGAGGCCACGGTTAGAAAGCGCCTCGCATTACAGAGATGCTTTAGACCGGGGGGGGGGGTTTGCAGAAGGGGCCATGTGGCTGCAGGTTTTCTTTCCAACCAGACTCCATTCACCTCATCAAGGACTCGATGAGATGATTGGACTCTGCTGTGCTATTACTTGGTTGGTTTTACAGTCGTCATTTGTATCTCTGCTTCCGTCTCCTTTACCACCAGTCGGCCTCAGCAGATGGCCGCTCACACTGGAGTTTTTCCTCTCCACTGTCACTACAAGCATGCTTAGTGTGAGGGATTGCATTCGAGTCAATGGGTCGATGCAATCAACTGGTTTTCCTTAGATAGAAAACTTTTAATCAATCTGACTGCATCATCTGGTGAAAAGTGCCTTGAGATGACGTGTTGTGATACAGAAATAAACTGAATTTAATTTAATTAAACTGAATTAGTTCACAATTATTCCAATAATCCATAATTCGATTGTTTCAGCCGTAGAAAAAAGTTTCAAAAAAATCAATTTAAATGAAAAATTTATGCAGAGTAAAGAAAGGGCTGCTTCTGATATCCAACCCTCAGTTTCCTGCTTTGTACTGATCTGAGCTGCATCATCATCATCATCATCATCATCTGGTGGAGATGGCCATCAGCTGGTTTCCCACAGTGGGACTCATCCTCCCCCCAAACAGCTGTATGCAATTATTAATTATTCATGTTTAAGCAAATTGATTTCCCATTTAATGATTTAGAAATCAATGCACTGAGGATTAGCTTAAGGTGATTTACAACTAAAAACAAGTGTTGCACTAATACTGATACCAGTATCGGACGGGACCCGTTCCAGCACTAAAATGGTGGCATCGGTATCAACGAGTACCAACAATAGGGCACTGATACCATTTTGAGAGCCACAAGTTTATTCAACTATTTTCACCCATTCCAGGTAGGCAATAAAAAGTTCTACTGGATTCACTTTGTATTAGTCTTTTTCCTGCTTCTCAAAGGTAGGCAGCAGCTTGACAAAGATGGCAATTATTTTACATCCTAGTAGTATGCAGTTCTTCACATATACACACACATCAATTTCAAGCAGATGGTATCGGCCGATACAGGTCAACCAGGTGATAGTGAGCATCCCTGTTTTTCACTGAGCGACATCAGTTTCACCTCTTTTTTCACCACCTTTAGTTTAATTTCTGTTTAATTCACTCTGTTTTTAAAATCTAAAGCAGTCAGACACATCAAGCCTGAATTATATAGTCCAAGACTGATAGATTATTTTATCCCAGTTTGGGATTTGTGAAATATGTTTTTGCATCTAGAGCAGATTAGAACAAATGTTACACCACTGTCACCAAAGGGGGCGCTATAAATGTATTTCACTACAGCTTTAAAAATAAATTGTGACATTAGGGCTGGTAGATGAGAACTGGTGAGGAAAACCACAACAGCATCTTACGTCACGGTAAATGATGCTGACAGCATCACCATTTCAGCTCAAAACTGCATGAAAAAAATCTAAAAAATAAAAATCTCCACCAAGAGATGAACATAAACATTACAACCACAGCTTTTACAGTTGGTACCAAGAGTGGAAACGTTGCTTTATAACAAACCGGTTCAGCTCCAAACAGAAGCACTTAGCAGTTATGCTACCTTCTTATTTCTGACTATGTGAAAAGTCTGCGGTATTATATTGTTTACATATTTTTTCTTAGTTTTAGAAAAGCAACAAGAAGGAAATGTTACCTTCGTGAATTCATGAGAACATATTGAATCATATTTAATTTAACTGAAACCAGAACACGATGCTAAGAAAGGTTAAATCAATCCTCTTACCTCATTCTGTTCAATGTTTTGTTGACACGGTTAGCTAACTTCACCGGAACCAGCTTCCCGCCATACAGTTCAAGTTCCGGATGGACGGAACCATTCCGCTTCCACCGGGGGGAGAGGGTTTATTTAGGTGGTGAAAAAGGAGCCCTGAACTTCATATAATATATAAAGTGTATATTTTAAGTAATGGTGACTCATGTCTCAAAGTTTATAAACTGAGAATTATTTAAAAAAAAAAAAAAAACGTTTAATTCATGTCGATCTACTGAATGTAAGGACCTTGTCCTACGGAGAGCCGGAGGTTTATTTTTAATTCCAAACATTGCGACCTTCAGGCTTCAGATTATTCTGTCAAACACCCATAAACCTGAACTACTGCGTGTTTATAGTTTGTCTAAAATCTAACTTTTCAAGTTAAGAGTCTAAAAAAAATGTAAACGCACCTATAGTTTTATTGGATATTACTTGATAATTTTTAAATCTTTCAAACATCCCTTTATTCTTTATAAATCTGCTAAAAGCAGTGATAAAGCACTTTAGCTGCTTCTGTTTTAAAGGTCTGTAGAAGTTAAAAAGATCAGCCTGCCTTTGTTTATATTTAGAAAAAAGAAACAGTACAAATTTTAGCAGCAAAAACATTTTAACTTCAATTTGAATGGATTTAGATTAGATGGAGTTAATATTTCCACCACCAGCTGACAGTGGTTGGCTTATTCTCAGTATAAGGCGTTGTTCAGAGGAGGCTGACTGTCATGTTTTATTTCCCAGGTCGTTTTATTTTTATAGCCGTGCATCATAAACAGAGCTAAAACTTTATTGAAACTAATCAGGTTAGAAGGGAAACGGCTGCTTTATGGTTCAACTCTGATGGCCATAAATACCAAAGGCCCTATAAATAAATTCACACAAAACAAATAAAACCAAGAGAGATGGAGAAACAAATGTCACAGTGAGTTTCCACAGATCATTTAGATGCCTTTAATTAAATCTTTTACAAAACAACCAGCTGATTAACATTTCATCATAAAAACATTAATTGAGAAGAACTCCTCTGACAAATATTTTCCTCTTGTATTAAAAAATAAATTAAAACTTGGACAGATTTCCTGTTCTATTCCTGTAGGCACCTGAGTTGTGGATCAGACCCAGCTGGGCGTCCAGTTCAGCAGCTACCGAGCTTATTCATACAGTCACAGTGAGCTCAGTGTCATCTGATGTAGACATAAAAACTGTTTACAAAAAGGTAAGAAATATGGCTGGTTTCCCTTCAAGACTCCCAGATTGGAGCAGATTGGATTCTGTTAAATCATACAGATCAGTTTGGTAGGTTTGATCAAAGACCCGTCTGGACTCTGAGCTTCAGAAATCCAACTTTTAAAGACGCTCTAAGCTACGTGTTAGCCTGCTCTGCCTGTTTGTCGTGTCGCAGAATGACAGCCTCAACACGTGATCACATTCGTTCTCCTCCATTCATTGCCCCCTCATGCAAAAGCAACGCCATCCTTCTACATGCTGATGGTGGCGTACAACTGGTCTATCTGGGACCTGAAGCACTGCCGCATCTCGTTCCTCTTGGCCTTCATGGTCGGGGTGAGCAGGCCGTTCTCGATGGAGAACATCTCTGTGTGGATGTGGATGGCCTTAACCTGCAGGATAGGGTGGATTAGAGAGTTTAACCCGCAATCAGGTAGATCCTAGAAATGTCTCATCTAGAAGTCACACCTGTTCAAAGGATTTGAGGCCTCCCTCTTTGCCAAGCCGCACTATGTCCTCCAAGATGGCTGCCTTGACCTCCTGTTTAAAACAAAAACAATTTCGTCTTTAAGAAGCTGATTTAAAATCAGTAGTGATGGTGAGATGAAGCTTGATGAGGTCACAGTTCATGAAGATTGATGTGAACATGTCGCCACCTATTGGTGGAAAACAGAGCTACAGTTAGTAATATTATCAGTGATTTTTTTTGTGATTGTTTTTCTTTTTTTCTTTTTTTTTTCCATTCAAGTTCCTTTGAAATTGTTAATGATTGGTCTATATAAATAAATCTTTTTTTGTGTAAAATTTGTCCTAGAAGAGAACAATCATTTAAGGTGCGCTGTCTTACTGCCATTTTAGTGAAATAAGCTCAGGCAGACAGTGAAAGTTATGGTGGAAATTGGGCTATGATGAGAAAATAAAAGGTTATAGTCTTTTTATTCAAACATTATAGTTTTCCATGGTTTTTGGTTTTAATCGGGTTGGAAGTTATGTGTTCAACCAATCTTTTAGTTAAATCAACCAATCTAACTTGGCAGTGTTTTATTCCATCTATAATTTTACTAGGGCAAACCAATGCAAATTATTCACATTAGCCAAAATACTAAAGAATAATTGCAACTTTTAAAAGTCTGAGGCAAGTCTTGAACCAATGACCTCAGGAGGGGAAGTCAATGTCTTTCAGCTGATGCCACCAACATTGGTAACAGACCGCAATAGTGCTTAAGACTCGTTAAAACTGTGTCAAGGCTTGCTAATGATCATTACCATGTTTAATCTAACCAAACTAGTTTTAACCAACTAGATTGGTTGTTTTTTTCAACCCATCTATTCTTAGAATCTATCCAAACTCTATCTAACTCTCCAACATCTCCAACATCTTGACTGAGGAGTGAAGCTGTTTAAATGCCAGTCGAAGTTCTCACGCTTTCTGAACCACTTCCTGAAGCGGTCATGTTGTATCCCGGTAGCGAGGCTTCAGACGTCAATCTTGGCCCCTCCCCTAAATGAATCACGCCTCGACACACACTGCGAGGAAAGACCCCCTCCATTGCTCGACCAACCTCGAAGCCTCGGCTCATCTCATAACATTACTACTGATTTGTAAGGATCTGCCATGTTAGTAAAACTCCGATGTGTGACCTCTAGGATTGTATTTCTAGGCTGAGTTCAGGTTCCAGAAAACATCTATCAACCAGCATAAAGAGCAGAGACATTTTCAGCCTTGGTGTGCCGCTACTCGACGTCTGCTCGTCAGTTAGTGGATCCCAGGTCCTGATCAGATCCGTCTTTAATTTGGATCCATTCAGAAATCCGTCAACAGCGTCAAACAGGACTGATCACAGCAAAAACTCACTGACTGGACCTGGATTCATAGCGCAGCATTAAAAGGAAATCAGCAAAGTTCTTTATACAGGTTCCGGACAGGATGGCAGATAATCCAAGTTCAGTTAAAAAAGAACTTTTAATTATCAGCAGCTAAAGTCAACACATCTATTTAAATAAATCTGTTTTGTTTTTTAACCAGAAACTTTCAAGGGAAGAACAGCTGAATGAAGAGAGAGGAATCGGATGAACATGCCTGATCCTCACGGATTCCCATTTTGTGCTGCAGTAAGTGGGCGTGTTGCAGGTGGTCTACAAAGATTGTTGAGCAAATGTCAGGACAGTTTGGTTGGGATCCGCTGAAAATCTGTGGGTTTTTTTTCGTTATCTTCTGCAGGCCAGTTAGTTATACGTCAGCCTGAACACCTAAATTTGCCCA